AGGTCATGCCATTGCAGGATTTCTAAACAAGAATATAGCACATCTACTCACAATTAGCAGAGATTCTGAAGAGTTCAACAAACTTACTCGCTAGCTTTTCGACCAAGATAGAAAGTAATTGTTCCACAAACTATTGGAACACAAATTTCTACATCCTTAAGTCTATTGTTTGGAGCCTACAAAATATTCAGAAAACAAAATGGATAATGTAATTGTAAATGATTGGCGCCTTGAATCATAACTAAACAAAGCTCAACACTTTTTCATCTCCTGTCCTGTTTTCAATAGTGAAAGGGAACAATTAAGAGGAGAAATGCTAATTTTTTGAGGACTTAAAATGCTGAAAATCTCATCTCATCCAATCAGTACAAAATTCCACAGATGCTACTCGTTTTCTGCTTAAGTGTGCCTGAAGGCTGAAGCCCATGAATATAACAATCCCCAAAAGCATCAAGTGACTGCACAGACCCCAAAAGCAAGAGCGGAAGGAAACAGAGGGTTGAAGGCGATACCTTTTTGTCACTATAATCGGAAGTTTTACCAATTTTGATGATGCGCTGCGATACTGACGCAGACCCGCCATCTTCCGCTGGGGTTTCGCCTGCCGTCGGAGGCATTTCAGCCGGTATTTTTTGGTTTTGGATTGGGGATTCTTCGATGGAATTTTTGAGGGAAAAGGGAACGGGGAACAGTGGTAATCACGAAAATTTTCCTTTTTTAAAAGCTCTGGTACTGTTTCCACGCGTAATCTGTCACCCTGGCAAATGGGTTAAGGCGAGGTGTCGGTAATTTATTTCCGCCTGAAAGCGACGTTCGGAAGTAAAGAAGAATACAACTCAAATTTGCAGAGAATATATTAAAATTCATCTTTCCATTGGCAATATACATAAATTAATATTTCAAGTTTCTTTAAAAATCAGGAAATCATTTCAATATTTTCAGATAATTTTCTCCTCTTTGCTGCTTCACCTTCGTCTTTGCCGTCGTCGACCTCCGCCGCCGTCCTCTTCCGCTTCAGTAATTCAACAACTCCTCCAAGGGCGACACTTACATCGTCGCTCCTCAACAATTCTTCCGCAACAGAAGCAGGAGTCACCTCTGTGTACTCCAACAAATTCTGGATTTCTTCAAGAAGAGGGTGGTCGCCGTCACGGAGACCAAGGTAGTTGTAGGCCAGCACAGAAAAAGCCGACGGCTGTAGGTAGGACAACTCAATATGCATATCCATCCGGCCAGGACGAAGCAAGGCAGGGTCAATCTTGTCCTTGTGGTTAGTGGTGAATATGATGATCCTCTCCTCCCCGCAGCCAGACCACAGCCCGTCTATGGCGTTCAGTAGACCCGACAGTGTGGACGCTGGGCGCTGAAATTAGAAAAAAAAAAAAGAAAAAAAAAAAAGAGAAGTTCCCATTCAAAAAACACAAATATTAATGTCTTAATTAAAGCCTATATATTTTCAGTTTCAACTGAAAGTATAAACAATCACAACCTCTTGAATGTGACATTCAAAGTAGTTATTTGTTAGTTCGAACTATTTTATTACAAATTTCAGTATGCATAAGATACTAACCTTATTTTTTTGGACATCCGATTGAGGATGGTTGACAGCCAGTTGAGGAAGGTTGACATCTACTATTGTGTTGGATCGAGCATGGACCTCTTCATAACAGTCGACATCCTCAATCACGATGATAGATTTGCTAGATATGTTTAGGAAAACATTCCTCAGCTGTGAATTGCAATAAATATTGCTAAGCTCCAAATCATACACATCATATTTCAGGTGCTTAGCCATGGCCACAACCAGGCTTGATTTGCCAGTTCCTGGTGGACCATACAACAAATACCCTCTCTTCCAAGCCTTCCCAATCCTCTTGTAATAGTCTCTCCTTGCCAAGAACCGATCTAAATCGTCAATGATGCTCTGTTTCAGGGCAGGGTCCATGGCGATGGTGTCAAAAGAAGCAGGATGTTGCAAATAAGTGGAGTTGCCTTTGGACCGCCCACCATAAAGTGAATCACTGTTATTGCAACTAAAAATCTTCAACTCCTTATCTCCTTGCTCCAATAACGCCGCTGTGGTCATGATATGTTGTAAATAAGCAGAGGCGATTTCTTCTCTGTGTTCGGAATCAAAAGATAACTCCAAATACCTCTTCTCTGAAGAACAAGTAAACAAGTCGTTGTCACCATTACAAGATATGGTTCGTTCAGTTTGCTGAGTACAAACATAACGCCAAGTAACTTTGACATTGTTGAAGGTGTCGACGATCTCTTCTCCTTCGGGTAAGGCGACGGAGATGTTCTTCTGGGAGCGTATTTTTCCCATTTTGACACGAGTTAAGCTTGCAGGGGTGATCTTGGTGGTTAAGTAAACTTTAGCGGCGGAGTAGAGGAGGTTGCGTTCGGCACCCCAGTACTCCTCGACGGTGATGACGGCGATGGAGCGGCTGCGGTAGCGTAAGAGATATTGTTGTATTTTGGACCAGAGGAAGTCTCGGATGGGTGGGGGAATGGGGTTGGGTGTTGATCTGAGAATCATGATTGATCC